TCAACATATAAATGAGAATAATTAATTTGGTTGGTATTTTATTTTGTCAACTTTTATTTATCAAAATATATAACTATATATTTCACATTTTTGTTGTCATAAAGGTATTTGTAAGGTGGAAGGTTGGAACACATCTTTATTTAACAATCTATCGTTTGACTTACACCTTTTGAAGATTTAAACATGTGTTATGTGGGCCTTCGTTTATATTCTTATCCTAGGTCTTTGGTGGTACCTAGGATTGAACCTAGGGCCTTCACACTGAGCTTACATCCCCAGCCCATTTTGTATTTTGAAATAACGTCTTGCTAAGTGGCTAAGTTATTCAGGCTAGCCTCGAATTTGTAATCCTCCTGCCTCAGCCTCACAGAATGCTGGGATTACAAACCTGTGCCATCAGGCCTGGCTTGCCCTGGCTCTTCAAATATCAGGGGTAAGGCTGACTTTAACCCATGGTGAGAGGGACTTCCTGCTATTAACTTTCTGCTATCAACTTCCTGTTGTCTGCTTGGCTTTTCAGTTCTTGGCCTTTTGATTTTTGGCTTTTTGGTTCTTCCATTATCCTTTCCTTTTGCACATATAAACAGATCCATGTATTTTTTTAATATCCCCTTTGTTCTGTGGTATGGGTTGAGTAGTGCCCTCTCCAAAGTTGAAACCCTAATTCCCAGTACTTCCAAATGTACTTTTATTTAGAAATAACTAACATATATGTAATTAGTGAAGCTGAGGTCATTTTGAATCAGGGTAGGGTGGACCCAACCCAATACAACTTCGGTTGGTGTTTTATTTTGTCTGCTTTTGTTCATCTGGGTCTTTATGAGAAGAAGGGAATTTAGGGACAAACACGCATGGAAGAAAGAGAATATGAAGACTCATGAGAAAAGACAGTCATGTGACCACAGAGACAGAGACTGGAGTGAAGGATCTCTAAGCCAGTGAGTGTTTAGCAAACTCTGGAGGCAAAGAAGCTTTCTCCCTTACAAGTTTTAGAGGTGGCATGGTCAGGCCAACACTTTGATTTTAGACTCCTATTTTTTAGAACTGTGAGTCAATAAATTTCTGATATTTTAAGACATGTAGTTTGTGATACTTTGTCACTGAAGCCTAAGGACATGACTATCGGCAGCACGTTAAAGATAGTCTTTGCAAGGGACTGGGGATTTAGCTCAGCAGCACAGTGCCTGCCTGGCAAGCACAAGGTCGTGAGTTCAATTCCCGGTACTGGAAAAAAAAAAGATAGTCTTTGCAGGCTGGGGATGGTGGTGCATAATCCCAGTATAATCCCAGTACTCAGGAGGATGGATGTAAGTTCAAGGCTAGCCTGCATATGTGGTGAGTTCAAGCCCAGCCTGAACTACAGTGAGTTTGTTTGTTTCAAACAAAGCAAAGCACAAACAAACAAAGCAAAACCAAAGATACTGTTTGCAACTACATGTGGTAGCGCATGCCTGTCATCCTAGCACTCTGGGAGGCTAAGGCGGGAAGATGGCAAGTTTGGGCCCAACCTGGGCAACTTAGTGACTTAGCAAGATCAAAATCAAAATTAAAATAAATAAAAAATAGAAAAGAGTAAAGGATGTAGCTCAGAACAAAGGCCCTAGGCTCACATCCCAGTACTGGAAGAAAGTACCCTGGGCCTTTGTGCAAATATTTTTACAGGCTAAATACCTAGAAGCACATGTGCTGGGTCTTAAGAAATGTGTCCTTTTCATTCTAGCAGCTACTCCAGATTAGCTTCGTCCTTCTAGCTAGGCTGCCCCTCCCAGAAGTGCACAACAGCAGGTCTCCCTGTATCCCAGCCAGCACTCGACCTGTTAACAGACACTTACATTTCCCCCCGTCTGGTGGGTAAAATCAGGTCAGTATTTTAAAAAAATGTATTCTCCAGATGACTTGTAAGGTTGAGTTTTTTAATATGCTGATATTCCATTTGAATTTCTCCTGCAAGTTGTGTCTTTATAACTGCCCATTCTTTTGTTGTGCTATTTATTTTATTCTTACTAATTTGAAATATTTCTTTATGCAGGAGATGATCTTATTCACTTTAAAGTATTCCTAGTTTCAGAAGAGCTTTTAAGTATCAAGCATATTTGTTGGATTTCATTGCTTGCTTTTTCAGCATCAAGTGAGATGATCAAATGATATTTATTTGACCTATTGATATGAGACACCTGTAATTGTAAGAACTTTAAAAAGCAAAGCAGTAAAATATTGATGGGCAATTGGAATGATGCCAATGAGACTTTTCTGAACATGTTTGGAGGGCTGCTTTTTTTTAGTCTTTTTTGAGATAGGGTCTTGCTATGTGGTTCAGGCTGACCTTGAGCTCACATTGTAGCCCAGGCTGGTCTTGAACTCGTGACCATCCTCCTGCCTTAGGCTCTCGAGTGCTGGGATCACAGGCGTGTGCCACCACGCCCGGCTTAGAGGGCTGCTTTAGCAAACAGGCTGGAGTCAGGGTAGGGTCTGGTAGTGGCACCATGGGTTGGCGCTTTGTACTTTGGGTAAGATGGAACTACTGCAGCATTTTGATAAAAGCTAGCTGTAGAACTTAAGAAGATTAATAAAGTGGTGGGGGTATAGGAAGAAGAAAATAAAAGCAAGGAGAGGACCTTGATGTCTAGGATTATAATAATAAAGACAGCCTTTCTCTATGCTAACCCTAAGGAAGTAGAAAAGAAGAAAGGAGGATGAACAGACCAGTATGATTCTCCAGTGAGCCGAGACTTAGAAAGAAGGTCTTGTAAGTGAGGACAGGCGCCTGTGAAAGCATAAATACTAGCATGTCACAGGCTTGGGGAGCTGCGTCGGCAGGGTTAAAGTTCAAAATCACTGTTGGCTTACACAAAATATCCAGACTGCGAAGCAAATTACAATAACAGAAATAAGGCAATGCAGAGACTACTCTCTGTAGGGAAACGATGTAATATTCATAGATGACAAAGCAGAAGCATACTCCATCAACTTTATTTCGCTTTCCATTGACAAAGCCAAGGAAAAGATTTTCAGACCGAGGTGGAGTGTGGGATAGAACAATATGGTAGCTGACGACAGTGCCGAAGGAGAGAAGAAGCTGTTAAGAGCATCTCTCTGCTGTAGGTGCTCTGTGATCCAGGGAGTGGAGGGAACTTTCGGGGATCTCTCAGTTTCTGCGGGGGACCTCAGGGAGAGCTTGTAGGACACTGCTTTAAAACACGGAGTGGGTATGTGTGAGAAGATGGAATTCCTAATTTCAGACACATGTTGATTTCATGAACTGCAAATCAGTGATCTTAATGCTACTTTGGGGCAAGGTCCCAAGACAGCATAAGAAGAAGGTGGGTTGTGAGCTCCCAGCAAAGGAAGTGACGGTCATTAGAACACTACATAGGTCAGGTAAAATCATGACTGGCCAACTTTCTTACAGGCCCACATGACTGTTAAATGTAGGGGGTGTTCCCTAAAAGTAGCACCAACAATCAGAAGATGTCAGAAATCAGCAAAGAGCTAGCTTAAAGAAGGGTTGAACAAAGGATATCTGGCATGGAGGAAAGAAGGGTTTGTGATGGCTGATGTCAATGAGAGAAGGATGGTCGTAGGGAAGACAAATCAGATCCCATCTGTGGGTCTCCACGGAAGTTACAGTGATCTAGAAGACTCACTGGAAGGAAGAGCTGTGTAATCACCTACTGTGTCCAACAGTGGCGCGGGCTGCTTTCGGTGAGAGCGAATTCCACATCCCTTCAAGTGCAAGCTGATGCCAGTCATTCTCTTCTGGAGAAATGGTCTATGCACCATGCGGATGCTCTATGCAAATGTTCAAGTGCATTACCGTGTGGCTGGCTCTGAAGTCCCTTCTGATTTTGAGATTTTGTGACCTTAGGACAATGTTGGTGTGAATGGGAAGGAAGAGCTTAGAGATATAGGATGGTGATGCTGTACCTGCAGGATGGAAAGAACTGGGAGAAGATGGAAGAAATGAAAGATAGTCATGACTTCCCATAAACCTAGAGGAAGACTCGGCTGCTTTCTGAGCCCAGAGGACCAGCACTATCCCCCAATAGTAGAGAGCTGCACTTCAAAGGAAGCCTCAAATCAGTATCTTTCACAGGATTTGGGGAATTTCAAGGACACAAATTTCAAAATGGAATGTTCATAACGTTCAGAGAGGAGGAGGGCCATGTCTCACATAGGTCCTTTTTCCATGCTGGCCTGAGACACGGACACCGTGGGGAGGGCACATACACTGCTGGGAGCAGGCTTAGGACACAGCCCAGGGAACGAAGTTCAAGAGCGAGAGAGGAGTGGAGTGATGGAGTGGGAGGAAAGGTAAGGATAAAGGAGCAGGTGCACTATTGGGAATGGGCCCTGCTTGGGCTGCCAAAGCCCAGGAGCTGGTTCTAAGGAGAGGAGAGAGCTAGGGACCAGGAGACTGCAGTGCTGGCGGTGCCCTTGCGGGCTGCATCTCACCACTCGGCTTCTTTCTTGTTACCACATGCAGGTGCCCTAGGAGCCTAAAAGTGCTCTGGGCCTTAAGGAAAAAAAAAATAGTTCCTGAAATTTAAAGGTGTGCATGGATTAGAAGAGTTTGCGCCCGCTTCCCTGTTTTCAAGGGCGGGAGAGGGAGGGACAATTGGTAAGAGGAGGGTAGGCAGGAAGGTGAGAAGTGAAGTGAGAAGTGAGACTGGCCGAAGCTCGGCTCCGCTGAGACAGCCTAGGAAGCCCGGAGTGGGGATCTGGCCCAGGGCACGTGTCTGCGGCCCTGGACCGGCCGGGCACCCGAGCGCCGAGCGGGCACTGCTGTGCCTTCCTCAGTCCATCCCCAGGCGGAATCCAGGGGCGGAAAGCGAGGCGCGCCCCTCCCCCACTAGATGGCACTGAAACGCCTTGTTCGAATTTTCAAAATGCAGGCAGGAGAGAGAGAGAGAGAGAGAGAGAGAGAGAGAGAGAGAGCATGAAATAAGGTAGTTAGGGAGTGTGAGCAGAGAGAGAGAGAGAGAGAGAGAGAGAGAGAGAGAGAGAGAGAGAAAGACAAAAAGAACATGGTGGAGGTGCGCTCAGGGACCCCGTGGTGCAGCGCCCGGTGCCTGGCACTGTCTCCAGGGCAGCTCTTCATGGGGCAGTGCGAAACCCCGACTCGGGAGAGACGGTGACAAAGCAGGGTGACCATTTGAGTGAGCGTCCCAGTATTGCAGCCGGGAGGGAGGCTCCCGCCTTTGCGGGGCGGCCTCTTGTGAGCGAGGCAAGTGGGGGGGGGGCACGCAGCTGGCTCGCCCGAGGCCCATTCGCGCCAGGTCTGAGGTCCTGCAGAGCCGAAATCCGCCACCTGCGTAGAATGACAGATCTGTATGGAGGACGCCTTTGACCCTACCGCCCCTCCCCAAAGTGCAAGCCCTCAACATTTCAAAACATCTAACCCTCCTTAATCCCCCATTAAAATTCTCTACTTGCGGTTACGAAAGGATGGGCCCTGTTTCTTTTTTCTTTTCCTTCTGTGGAGGGAGGGAAGGTGCAGGTGGGCGGGGGTCGACGTTGGCATGGACTGGGGCCTGTCGTGAACCCCGCGGTCGCTCCCTGAGCAGCCCCTGGAGGAAAAGCTTGTAGCAAGCAGGGCAGTACCTGTGGCTGTGTGTGTGTGTAGATCAAGTGTACCCCAAGACACCAGCACCCGAAACCGGGGGTCGCTCAGCTCCTATAAGAGCCCGCTCTGCAATTAGCAGTCTTTTCTTTAAAGCACTGTGGTGGATTGGAGGGAGTTTTTCACAGCTCCAAAGAAACAGATGTAGGCACCATGCCTTAATGTATAAGAATACATGTAAACATGCTACATGCCACATATATGTATATGTGCATAAATATCGATGTGGCTGGGCACATATCTTACCTAGACACCATTGACTTGCCTGGTCAGAGAATAAGGCTGAGACATTTCGTGCCCGGGAAATGGTGCGGTTTATCTTTAAGAAGGCTAGAAAAATAAGCGATGAGGCTCACGTTGCACGGATGACATCACTAGCTTTTGGCCGCGCGCTCCGTGTTCTCGTCGGTGGGTTTTAGCCAAGGCTGCAGCGCCGGGCGCCCGAGCGAGCAAGCGAGCGCGGCAGCGGCTTCTCCTGCGCCTGCACCCGGGCGAGGCGACTTTTCCGGCTCCCGGGGTGCAGCCTGGGCTCCCGCCCCTCCCAGGCACCCGCGAACCAGCGAGGCCTGGGAGCCGCCGCGCCTAGAGGAGGAGGCTGGGAGGCGAAGCCGAACCACCCAGCTCCCTCCCCCACCCTCGCCCATTCACCTCGGCGATCGTCGCGTGCCGGGAGCCAGATCGCCCGACTCCGAGGCCCGGACCCGATTCGCTGAGCGCTGTTGCCCAGGGAGCCGGCGTCTCGGCACCCGGGCGGGCAGCGAAGAAAATGGTGCAATCGCAGAGCGACTGACCCTGGCTGGGCAGAGCAGACCGGGCGCGAGAGTGCCGGGCTCAGGTGGCAGGAGAAGGGGGCGGGTCGTTGGAGCAGCAGGGACCCGGGTTTTCCTCCCTGCCCGCAGCGTTTTCTTTGCACCTGGACTGCACGCTCCCGGGCTGTAGGGAGCCACATGGAGTGAGGCGGAAGCGGGTCTGGAGGTGGCCGGGTGGACTCTCCGGGAAGAAGGCGCCCGAGAGCGCAGCGTGACGCCCGGGGGACCAGCCGCAGGGCCAGCAGCGCTGGGCGACCGCGTGCCCTGTCCATGGTGTTGAAGGCGCCCCGCGCCGCGCGCCCTGCCTGGTGCGCCCTCCTCTGCACAGCCCGCCCCTCGCGCCCGTCTGCGGTCGCCCGTTCTCCGCCAACCCCGGGCCAGCTCTCGTCCCGTAGCGCCGCCCGGGTGTCCGCGCCGTCCGCCTGAATGGCGAGGTCGGAGGCCGGCAGCCGGCGAGCTCGCAGGGAACGGTGGGCAGAGACCGCGCGTCCGCGGGAAGCCCGCCGCTGAGAGTCCCGCGTGGGCCGGCGAGGACCTGCCGGGGACCCGAGGACGGAGATCTCCAGAAGGACCGGACCCGGGAAGGAAGAGCGCTTCTGCGGGCACATCTCGGGTCTCCGCTTGCACACCGGAAAGGGGAGGGACCCTAGAGGTAGATCCAGGCTGGACTCGGGGCGGCCGGCCCTGGCACCCGGCGGTCTCCTTCGTCTGCGGGCCGTGTCGCGGGTGTAGACGAGCGGCTGCCCGTGATCGCACCGCCCCATCCCCTAAATCCCCGGCCTCTTCGCTGCACAAAGAATCCGCAGCGGGCTCCACCGCAGCGGAGGGCGCTCGGGCTTCGGTTTCCGGAGCCGGGCTGCGTGCGAGGCCGCGGGTTCGGAGCAGTCGCCCCCTGCGGGGCGGGGAGGGGGCGGGAAGCCGCCGCGTGGAGTCCGCCGCCGCCAGCGGCTACGCCCGCCTCAGAGGATGCCCCGGGGTCCGATCAGAACTTTTTAGGCCGCCCGCCGCCACCTCCGCAGTCCCCAGGCCGAGTCCCCCGCTGTCGCTGTCCCCATCCCCAGCTCGGCGCCGCCGCTTGGTCCCCGACAGGCGCGCGGAGGAAGGCGAGGCCGCGGCGGGTCATGCCCAAGGTGTAGGCGAGGCGGAGGCATGGCTGCCGGAAGGTTGCTGCTCTACACGGGCCTCTCGCTAGCGCTCTGCGCCCTCGGCATGCTGGCCGTGGCCATCTGCTCCGACCACTGGTACGAAACGGACGCCAGGAAGCACAGGGACAGGTGCAAGGCCTTCAACACCCGCCGGGTGGACCCCGGCTTCATTTACAACAACAACAACAACTTGCCGCTCCGGGCCAGCCGCTCGCGCCTGGACCGCTGGGAGGGCAAACTCCTCCGGGCCCGGAATCGCCGGCAGCTCTTCGCCCTCAGCCCGGCCGATGAGTGCAGCCGGCAGTACAACTCCACCAACATGGGCCTCTGGAGGAAATGCCACCGGCATGGCTTCGACCCCGAGATCGCCGCCCTCATTCGGAAAGGTAAGCGAGGAGCGAGGCGTGGCGCTGCAGAGAGCCGTGTGTCTCTGGTAGGCCCCGCAGCCCCTCGCCTCCCCTCCCCCTGGCTGTCCCCAATCCCGGCTTCAGGCGGTGCAGTTTTCCTGGCTGAGCCTGCCCACACTGGTAATGGAGTGTGCCGGGGGCCGTACGCTCTGCCGGCCTCTGGCCTTGCTCTTGTCTGTGTAGGTTCGCCTGGCATCTCCTGGTCCAGCGCTCTTATCCAGGATAACGTCTCATTAGCCTCAGAGAAGGAAGGAAATTTACAGTATAAGGTTATGTGCTGAAGAGGAAGCCCTCTAAGAGTGACGTGTAGGGGTGACAGGTTCCGAATTTTAATTTTGTTTTAGACATTGAGCTGATCCTACTGAGGGAAATAGGGGGCACATCTCACAGAGAAGGCCTTGCTCCTAGCGAAACATCTGCTGAGTGCTGTGCTATCCCAGGCGTGCAGAAGGCATTGCTCATATAAACACTGGCACATCACAGCCCCTGCCCCGAGCAGCTCCAAGCCTGTTGGGCAGTAACATAACATCACAGTTCTTTATTTCTCCTTTGAAAAAGTGGTCACAAATGGGACAGGTGTGCAGTGAATGTTTGCAGGATCTAATAAGCACAATGAAAGTAACACTAAAGAGGGCATTTCAGAGACAAAAATGACAGGTTTTTAGACGATTTATATGAAAAACACTAAAAGTATACCAAAACAGAAAAAAGCTACATTTACTAAACATAAAAGTGTATTTGATACTTTAGCATGATGGCACACTGAGCAGAATCTTAAATTCTGCTTATTTGATGCAATTGGTAAATCTTACACGATTTATATGTCGGCAACTGTCCTGTCCCATCAACGAGCCAAAACGTTGTTTGGATGTGATGCGTGTTCATATTGCTTGGAAAAAAGGGATATGTTCTCTTTCATGGTGGCTGCACCCCGGGATGATGTTCAGATGTTATGGGTCTCACCTTCTCTCATTCTCTTCAACTATTAAGTGGTGAAGCCAAGTGACAATGATGTTGTTATTTGCAAAATGCTTTGAGGCCGAGACATAAAGCAGTTCTTATTGTCTCTTATTATACTGCTGTGAGGTTTGCTGATGTTTTCGAATAATACTTGTGAGAACTGATGCACTTTGATTTATAAAAGTGTTGGACTGATCAGAAAGAAAATTAACTTGAAAAAATGTCACTGGTTTAAGAATGACAAGCAGTGTGTATGGTCGAGGAGGCTAGTTTGCATTTAGGTGGTAGGTAGGTCCAGGGAGAGAATCCATCTTGGTGTTTGTTTTGTAGCTTCTTTAGGATGACTAGGGATTTCAGCTGAATTAGTTATGGGTGTGTTTATGCCACAAACATCCCATCTGCTTTATGACAAGGCTCTTCTTAGGGTGAGGTGACCCGTTTGGAGCTCTATAACTTTATAAAGATGTGCAGGATATTGAGGGGGAGTTCAGAAGAGAGCAACTTAGGGTTACATTGAGAGGTAGGAGTACAAGAGGACGCAGAGGTATTTTTTGACGAGGGGTGACTTTATCACAGTTTGTAGCCATCATTTTCTGCTTTCTTTAATGTGGAGATGGCAGGAAGTTAGCTGAAAAGTCGGGGAGAATTCATGCTAGTAATGGCTGGGAAATCCTGGCAGGATTTTCTGAAGGACATTCTTGAATTTCTTTCCTCGACCACCTTCTAGAACAAGACAGGCATCCTGTCTGGGATTGGTTGACCCCACTCCGAGAAAGGGGTATGGAATTCGTGGCTTCTGGTGGCTCTGATTCTGTTACTCTGCTTGGCAATCTGACTAGAAAGGTTGACTTGGTGTGTGCACCAGAGGGATTGGTTACCATAGTGACATGTTCTTCCGGCAAGGCTGGAAACAGTGACAGGGAAAGGGATAGGGGAAGAATGTACAACATTTTGACTTTGCATCGACTGATTTTTAATTGCAGCAACAGAAAATGGACACACACAGCAGGGGGATTGAATACACCGATACCTCGCGTTGGCAGGGCATTGTATTTCATTTGAACTAATGGAAATGCTGTTCCCCGTCACCCCAAATACAGCAATCACTGTCAGCTGCAAGCACCCGCTTACCATGGCTGTTTCTGTCCGTTTGACATTCTTGTTAGGTATTATTGAGATAGATGGCGTGCCAGCCGTCCAAATCTTGAGACTTAAGGTCACTATCTCCATTTTTAACCTCAAATCATAATCTTCAACAACCAGATCTCCCTTTCCCAAGCAGCAATATACACATTTTGGAAATAAGCGTGTCTTATATTAACAGAATTCTCAGGCAGTTCCAATAATATATAGAACATAATTTCTGGATTTAATTAGTGTTCTTCCAAGCAGATTTTTTGTGGAAGTTAAAAAAAGAAATTGATATTTCTGTACTTAAATTTAGGATGTCATATGGAAAGATATTTATCTTACGTTATTCATAGGCCTCAAACATATTTTAGACCTTTGTCTTTTTTAAACATCACCTTCTATTAAAATTCTGGGAAGCCAAGATTGGTGGTGCATGCCTGTAATCCCAGCACTCTGAGGGGCCGAGGCAGGAAGATAGTGAGTTTGAGCCCAGCTTGGGCAATTTAGTGACTTTGCAAGACCCTATCTCAAAATGCAAATAAAAAATAATAAAAATGAAGTGGGGATGTATCCCAGTGCAAAGACCCTGGGTTCAAACTGCAGCACTAAAGAATGATGAAAGAAAGAAAAAAGAAAAGAAAGAAAGAGAGAGAGAAAGAAGGAAAGAAAGAAAGAAAGATAGGAGGAAGATATATTTTGGGCAAGAAGCAAGGAAAAGGAAAAAGATCTTTTAAAATCTATTAATGTTATGGAAAAATGAGAGATTTATCTAAATGATCATACAGCCCTAAGAAACTCATTCATTTGTCAAATCAATGTTCATTACATTAGAAAGTACTGTTTGTGCATTTAAAAATAAAACCATCAAGGTAATAAGAAAAGTTGAATCTATATCTGATTTGAAGATTAAGTCCTTTGGATTCATGTTCTTTCTCAAATCCTTCTTATTTAATACCCTGATGCCATGGCTGCACTCACAAGTATTTCTGGTCAGTGTGTATTTCTTTGTTTGCATGATTGAACTGTAAGTTCCTGAAGGGCAGGAAAGACAAACACTTATAAAATTCACTCACCAGACATTTGATACTTTAGAAGTACAAAAATTAAGTTTAAAAAAATGTGTCCCTCAAGAGCTAATTCTAATTATAGGAATATGTGTGTTGAATCCAGATAAAAAGATTAGTTGGAAAATTGTAATTTAAAAAAAAATGAATGAGTGTGGTGATCAGGTCAGGTTAGTATTGCAACAGATGTTAAATACTAGAAAGGAAGACAGGAAGGATGGAAGGAAGGAAAGAAGTTTTCTTGAGCAAAAGCTTTTTCAAGGAATAAGGGGCATACACAATTCTTTTTTGGGTAACATATGTGTCTCAGCTACTTTTCTCTCATTGCTGAGACCGAATACCGATGCCAAAAATTAAAGAAGGAAAGGTTTCTTTAGCTCACAGTTTGTGGAGGTTTCAGTCCATACTCAGCTGGCTCCAAGGCAGAGTGGCACATGGCAGAGGACAACAGTTCATGGCAGTGGTTGACCACAAAAGCAACAAGAGCAAAAAGGGAGGAGCAAACACGGAGCAAGCCTCTTTCTCTCCCTTATATTGTGTGCAAGCTACCCACCCCAGGGTGGCCGTAGCACTCACATGCATAATCCCAGCACTGGATCATGAATCAATCAAAAGCTCTAGAAGCCTGCCCCATGACTGCATGAGGCTTTGGGGGGGGACATCCAGACACAAACCATAACAATATGTCACTGAAGAGATCCACATCACCCAGAGTCATTATTTTTCATGTTAGATAAGATTTTATTTTTTTCTTGGAGGTAGGATTGGGTAGGGGGTGCATCAAGGAGAGGTTACTCCAAATTCCCATGTGACTATGTCCATGAAGAGTCTTCAATCAGGTCCTCTTATCTTCTTGCATCTCAGCCTCATCCCTGTCTCCCTGAAAAGTCACTGTGGGCCTGGGGACAGATTACTGGCAAGATCAGTTACTAAAATCCAAGACTTCTAGGTCCTTAGGAAGAGTAGCTCTAGGTAAGATTTTGCTCCAGGGAACATTTATATTCTTTGTTGTATTAATAAGCTTTGAGATAAAGAGACCCTTAACTAATAGTCTTAATAATTTTTTATTACTTGAAAATTTACCTTCTAATTGACGTTGGCCCAAAGAATCTCCATAATCTTAGGGTGGTTGTCAATACTCTGCAAACTATTTCAACATTCTGCATGTTTCAAAATCAGTAATGTGAACTGCATATGTATTATGTGATGGATGGGCATACATCAATAGGATGAAGGAACAGGGAAGACTTAGCTGTCTCAATTCTTGTAGAATTAATGTCAAGAGACTGAATTCCAACTACAAGATCATGAGGGTAGTGCCGGAAACAGGCCAAAGGTAGACTGTCCCAGGCCTGGGGTGCAATTAGGGAGTTAGGTGAGTTGTCTGGTGGAAGTAAAATCTGAGCAAGATTTTGAAGAGGTTTAGAGGTGAGTGGGAGAGAAGTTATTTCAGTAAAAAGAACCAGAATGGATTTCTGGGGTGAGAGAGAAGAGCTGTAGAGTGGCTAAGGACCAAAACAAAGAATGGTTCACTAAATCCCCTATAGTTGTGCTGATGGAATAGTCTAACCACTAGTCATATGTGGCTGCTTAAACTGAAAATATCCAAAATTAAATAAAATCCAGAAATTAATTTTGTTAGCTGTATTAGCCACATTACAGATGGTTAATAGGAACATGTGGCTATTTATTGGTTGTTGGGTTGGACAGTGCAGATTACAGCGATTGTTCCCATGGTCAGAGAAAGGTCTTTTGGACAGCACTGCAGAAAGTGTACTGCCTCTAAAGAGAACAAGCACATGCTTTGTTTCAGAGGAGGATAAT